AGTCGGCACAAAACGGCTTTTGTTACCTCCTGGGGCCTACATGAGTGGGTCAGGATTCCATTCGGACTTAAGAACGCACCGGCCATGTACCAATGTTGCATGGAACACATACTGGATGGACTCAATCACCAAATATGTGAAGTCTACATTGACGATATTAATAGTGTACAGTGCAAGTTTCGAAGAACATGTACAAAATCTTTGAACTGTCCTACAGAGGCTACAGGAACACGGGGTGAAGATGAAGGCGAAGAAGTGTCATCTTTTCCAAAGCGAGGTACGGTACCTGGGAAGAATCATTGGTAGTGAAGGCTACAGACCCGATCCCAAAGAAACAGCGGCACTGCAATCACTGAAGACAAAGACACCACAAACCATTGGTGATCTTCGAAAGCTACTTGGCCTTACCGTGCACTACCGCCGCTATTTGAAAGACTACTCCAAACATGCCCGGCCCCTATTTGCACTGCTCACACCAGAACTGTCTACTGAAGCCTCGAAAGCCAATGGAAGTGGAGTGAAACAGAAAAACAACACAAGAAGGACAAAACAAGGGCAACTTTCATCCAAGACGCCGATCCAGTGGTTGCCCCAACATCAACAAGTACTGAACTCATTCCTAGATGAACTACCAAGTCAACCGGTGATGAGCTACCCAGATTTCAGTCTCGCGTTCGTGCTACATACCGATGTGTCTCAAGAGGGACTTGGTGCTGTACTCTATCAGCTGCAAGGGGACAGAATAGCCTATGGTTCTCGGTCACTGACGCCAGCCGAGAAAAACTATCACTTGCACTCAGGGAAACTTGAGTTTCTAGCATTAAAGTGGGCAATCACGGACCACTTCAGGGATTACTTGTACTATGCGAAATCATTCACCGTCTTTTCCGACAATAATCCCTCACATACATCCTGAGTACAGCCAAACTGAACGCCATTGGTCATCGCTGGGTGGGAGAACTGGCAGATTTTAACTTCAGTATCAAATATAGACCTGGAAGAGAAAATGGAGATGCCGATGCACTTTCAAAAATGCCGATGTCAGCTGAAAATCTTGAAGAGTTGTATACTGAAGAAATTTCTCCAGCTGTAATCCAAGCATGTGTACAGGGCTTGCAGGTTCAAGAACAGAGAGAGTTTGCATTTGTAAACTGCCTGGCCGTGAACTCTGACACAATGGATCAACTAGAGGATCAGCTGCCAGATGGGATCCAGAAGTTCAGTCAAACTGATGTACACAATGCCCAACGTGAAGACAAAGCAATCGCCAGGTTCTTGGACTACAAGTCTAAAGGACGATGGCCCAAGCGTGCAGAGAGGGCTGGAGAAGAAAAGGACACAACCACAATGATGCATGAATGGAAAAACATCACTGTTGGCCAAAATGGGATTCTCTGGCGAACCATGAAATGCAGACGGCAACTAGTCATACCACAGAAATGGCGTTTACTCGTTTGCAAGGAAGTACAAGACAAGATGGGACACTTGTCCAAAGATAGAGTTCTTCATCTGGCCCAGGAGCGTTTCTATTGGCCCCATACGGAAAACTTCATCGAGTCTTACATCACCAAACAGTGTCGCTGCATAAAACAGAAGAAACCAGCCAGACCAGGTAGAGCTCCGATGGTGAACATAGTCACTACCGAACTGTTTGAGCTGGTGAGCATTGATTTTCTACATTTAGAACGGAGCACCGGGGGACAGGAGTACATTTTGGTCGTGATGGATCATTTTACTCGGTATGCGCAAGCATATCCCACCAAGAACAAAGCTGGACGTACTACGGCAGACAAGATTTACAATGACTTCTTTCTTTGATGTGGGTACCCGAAACGGCTGCACCACGACCAAGGCTGTGAATTTGAAAATCATCTGTTCCAGAGACTAGGGAAGCCGTCAGGAGTTGAAGGGTCACGGACGACACCATACCATCCACAGGGCAACGGGCAAGTGGAACGCTTCAACAGAACTCTGTTGTCCATGCTCCGTACCCTGACGGAAGACCAGAAGAAAGACTAGAAACAACATGTTAACAAGGTTGTCCACGCATATAATACCACACGTCAAGAATCCACCGGCTATTCTCCACACTACCTCATGTTTGGGCGATCGGCACGCCTCCCGATTGACCTGGCTTTTGGGTTGGAAGATCAACGCAGTAAGACGAGGGACCATGGCGAATATGTTCAAAGGTGGAAGGCTCGGATGACTGAGGCTTACAATCTTGCACGCAGAAATGCAGAGAAGTCAGCAGCAAAAAGTAAACATTACTATGACCGGAAAGCCCTCAACACATCGCTTGCACCAGGCGATCGAGATTTGGTGAAGAACTGCGTCCCTCCTGGTGGGCCTGGGAAACTACAGTCTTACTTCGAAGACAAAGTGCATGTGGTTGTTGCACAAAGGGTAGATCTACCGGTGTATGAGTTAAGACCAGAGACAGGAGAGGGGAGGACCAGAGTTCTCCATCGCAATCTGCTTCGTCCCTGTCCACACCAAGTCCAGACGACCAACGCGAGGGCATCATCACAGTCAGCCTATCGACCCACCCAGCAGTACAGATGAGGAGGAAGATGACTCCAGGCGTATTTTCAGTCAGTACCACAAGGGAACAATCCTGAGTCAGTGCAGAGGACATCTGCAGCAGACGAGATTTCCTGTGGACAGCGGAGCTGCTCTGACGAAACATCTGCTGACGAAGGACCTGCAGGATTGGAGATAACCAGTGATGTAGGAGCAGGCCATGAAGGTGACAGTTATGCTGAACCAGACCCACACCCTGCGCAGTCACAACAAATGGTGGAAATCCAAGTGGCAGACCAGGTTTCCCAAGAACAGAACAATTCTGATGCAGCATCCGCGAGGGAAGAAAATGCAATCGGATGAGAGAGTTCATTGTTTTAGTTGCCAGTCCAGAATCCCTCCGTTGATCATCATTATTTTATTCTGCCACAGCGAACTGGAACCCTGGGTACCCCCTTTGACCACGGTACCCCGGCACAACCTGGTAACACTATTCTTCAATTCCACTGCTGGTGGTGAAAGAATAGAGAATAAACCAAGAATAATAATCAGAAATACTTGTGAATCAAGCTTTGAAAATTCAAGTCAATACAACTCTGTGTGAGTTTAGGCATTTGCTGTTTGCATTAGACATTACATATATGCTGATGTGTGCAGCTCCTGTGATGAGTGCTCTGAATTTCTCTGCTAGGCCTACTGGATTTACTAAGACTGGAAGTTTATCTGATAGTGCTCTAGATCAGTTGCTGTGGATTTACATGCAATGGGCAGGCGAAGTGTGAGTGATAGAGACACAAAATCCAAATCCGGCGTTTGACATCTTTAGACCCGTCTTAGTGACGTCATGTTGCTACTATAAACGGCGTGATCCGCCATCTTGGATTACAACCGTACTTGTTTAGACGCTTCGCTTTAGCTCGCATGTTTTATTAACCTTATCATCATGGCGAATTTGAATGCTGCAAGGTTCGCGTATTATAGTTCTCTTGATGGGAATTCCAAGGCCCGATATGATGAAATGCTTAGCTTTATTGCCGGCATAGATCCCTACACAATTAGCCCGCTATCATGGAGTGCAGATGCTACTTGGTTGCCATCATTGGCGTATCCAGACATCATTAATTTCCTGGTGCATTCCCTAAGCCCATACAAGCTAGAGGATTTGAAATGCTACAAGGGACTAAAAGCCTACAACCAGTTTGTCAGCGGATGGGTGTAGGATGTTGTAGAGACTGTTACTAATGATTGTCATGTGGTTTCTGCCATGTAAGACAAACTTTGGAAGGATATATTTTGACTTTCATGAGTAAGAGTACGCTAGGCTCATATCCTAATGTTAGTTGGGCACACACATGTAGTTTCATTGTTTGTTACTGTTACTTCATGTAGCCTAGGCCCCCCCCTGCCTACTTGTGCTGGTGTTGCTGATGCGCCAACAAGTAACTAGGGGAATCATACTAAGACCCTAAAACTTAAGATTTTTCAATCTCAGGTGGACTTTTCACTGTCAATTTTTAAACTGACATGTCCACTTCGGATTGAAAATCAAAACGGACGATTTGTAATCTGAGTTAGACATGTCAGTTTTTAAAGTGATTGAAAAATCATCAGTTTTAGGGTCCTAGTTACTTGGACTACCTATATAGCCCGCCCCGATGAATGTGCCCTTGACACTGGGTTCATATGGCAAACCACATGAAGCTGCAGAGGCCTAGGACTGTAGGAGCCTATAGTCGACTTGGTCTAGTGTTGAAGGTTTTGTGAACTTTTATTTTACTGTTAGACCTATTTTTATTTTTGGTGTAGGCTTAGGCCTGCCTCTGTTTTCAAGTGGTTTTGTTTTGTTTCCGCCTTTGATTTTTTTGTAGGCTTTGCTGCGTGTTGATAGTTGAGTTTGCATGATGTTGGCTGCATTAAAAATCCTGCATGATCTGATGAGCCACTTTTGAAATTAATTAAGTGGTTTAACAGTGCATGAAGGAGCCCAATTTTCTTCAGTCTACGAGTTCGAGTTTTGCATTCTAACAACTTTAAAGTACCATTGTTCTTGTTCCGACTTGGACACAGTGCCTCAAGTGATGAGTCATGATTTCCTTAATCCAGCTCCAGCATGTATTGTACAAATAAACATCTCACTAGCAATAATTATTTGAACTTTTACATGTTGGAATACATGGTGACCCTTAACTAAGTTACAGCTTTCAGTGGCAAACAACCAACAAACCATGATAACACAATTGAAAGAACATGAATGTTTGAAGTAGAAATAGAGACCAAATAGGTCTTAAGTTGTTTTGGTCTATTATTGCTTTTAAATTAAAAGACTTGCTTAAATTTCAGTTGCACACAAATGTAACCAAGCATGACTGTTGTATCAACTACCTGGCACTTATTATTGAAGGGTGTGTTTTCTAGGAATTCCATTATTTCATTATTTGTATTATTGATTGACTTCATCCATATTGGTCGATTTACAGGTGATGCATTCTCAACGACTTCAGGAAACTCCCCTGACGCCATGGATAATTGCAGAAAGGAGTAGCAAGGTATTGGCAGCACACTGTGACTGTATAGCAGGCATTGGGGAGACATGTACACATGTCAGTGCATTGGTGTTCTACCGGTACATTGACATGAAAGTCCACATCAGAGAGTCAAAAACGGTGACCCAAGAGCCAGCTTATTGGAAGTTACCAGCATCAGTAAAAGAAGCTGCTTGATCTCCCTGCGTGTAAAATAGACTTTACTTTGGCCAAAACTAAGAAGAAGCAGTTGGATGTACTTGTAGATGGATCTGTCAACACAACTGATGGTGGTGATGTCAAACAAAAACCTCAGGTACCAGCCCCAACAAAAGACGAACTTGACTTGCTCTACAAAGAACTGAATGAGGCAGATGCAAAGTCTGCAATTCTCACTGTTCTTCCTAACTACAGCCATAGATTTCATCCCGAGGGAAGCAACTTCCCCACAGTCTTACCAGGCCTGTATGATTCAGAAAATTGCAAACTGTCATTCCTAGACTTGTTGAAAAAATGTATCGAAATGTATATTTCCGTCAGCAAGGATCAGGCAAACAATGTGGAGAAGGCCACTCGCATGCAGTCGAGCAGCAAGAAGTGGTATCAATTTTGAGCTAGCCGCAACACAGCATCGGAAGATGAAGAGAGTATGCAGAACAAATCCAGATCAACCCTATCAATCTCTCATTCAATCTGTCTATTACCCTGAAACCACTAAGTTTTCTACAGTAGCAACAAAATGGGAGAAAATGGAGCTCACTCATCACAGTCAAGCAGTCTGGCTTTGTCATCAACACAAAGTATCCTTATCATTGGAGCTTCACCAGATGGGTGTGTTTCCTGCAAATGTTGTGGGGCAGGTGTACATGTAATTGAAGTGAAATGCCCATATTGTGCTAGTGACAGCCAAATAGAAGAATATGCCTCACTGCCAAGAACATGCCTTTGGTCTGACGAAGATGGAAATATCTGTCTTCTTCAAGATCATGATTATTACTACCAAGTACAAACACACACACACACAAGTGTATAAAAGCCTTCAATCGTGGACTCCCTATTGTTCCTCTTTTGTTCATACTTTAACTTTTTCAGAAGACCTCCCATATGTTTTGTACACAGTTGTCAATCGGGGACCCTCTGTTAATCGGGGATCTTATTGTCTTCTATTGTTCAGGGTCCCCAATTGAATGCAGAAACAAACTCAGATACACACCTGCGAAGCAGAGTATGCTGATTTTATTGTGTGCACTTCTGCTAACTTGCACATAGAGCGAATTGAACCAAATCAAGAGATGTGGGAGGAGATTTGCGAGAAGAGTCACAAGTCTTTTCATAAAGGCGGTACTACCAGAACGGCTTGGGAAATTTTATACAACACCATCCACTTCACTGTGGCCTCTAGTACTATGTCAATGGATCACTGTTACTGCGGCAAACCACAAAGTGAGAATGATAGCATGGTTGCATGTCACAATGACACATGCAGGATTAAATGGTTTCATCGGAGCTGTCTCCAGATAAAGCAACTTCCAAAAGGGAAGTGGTTCTGCCCAGAGTGCCGTGAAAACAGTACATGTAAGAAGATGCCAAAATAAGACAGGCACTTTGGTTTAATGCAGAAGTTCACCATCCCTGTAAGTATACATTCTATACCAAAGTGTTTTTCTGTTGCTTGTGAAATACACGATGAAGCCAAATCCCCAATTATTTCCTTTGTCATACAAATGTAATAATCAAAATTTTTTAAGACTGGAATTTACGGGAAAGCAACAAAAACTAGGTATAAGTACTAAGTGTTGATGGCTTTCCTGTGGCGTCAAATAATATGGAAAAAAGTAGGGCTCATAAAAACACGGCCAACATAAACATAGTAAAAAATTGAATATTTAGCGAAAAATTTCAAGGCAAAAAAATACAGTCATCTGTTTACACACTTGAAATATAAAATGGGACTGGTCTCAACAATTGAGAGTTTTCTTAGAACAATTACAGTATGTTTTGAAATTCTCCAGTGCCAAATTTCACTGTCAACCATGGTCAACCGACCATTGATGGCATCTGAATTGCTTCCCTGATGGCATATTTTGGGCTAGGAAAAATTATTTCTGGGTGTTTTCTTTCTCATTACATTGCATTGCGGCCTTTTCATATTTTCCAGGATCCATACTGAATATGAAAGAATGTAGCTGGATGACTTGGAAAGCAGTGTCAGGAATAAGCATGGCCAACTCCTTGCTCTGACATGTCTGAGTGATGTAGCCTTGTAGGCCTACATGTACAGGCACTATCAGACATCAGGGAAGTACATTGTATACTATTACGGGGTGATATCGAGTCATAACTCTTATTAATTTAGCAAACCAATTTGCATATACATGTACACATATTTTCAAAGTGCACTGAAATTTTGTTAATTTATACAAAGTTACATTGCTACTCACCAGATATGAAGTGATTGGAGCATATTCGTGTGCATTGTAAGTTTCTGTCACTGATGTTTCTGGAAACCCGTGACAACCATTCCGTCCGTCTTTTTAGCGAAAGTATGCAAGTTGCGTCACCTCTTGTCAGTACAGCAGGCAAACAATAAAAAGATTTCTTATCACGATCCACCCTGTTTCCACAGCTAAATACAGCACAAAAGTTGACCATTTTCAATACACTGCAGTACAAACTCACTACAGTTCAAAACTTTCCGCGCATGTTGAGTTGTATACACAGCTGACAAGTAATGGTCGTGACTTGCTCATGTACAGGTGTATGGAATCAAAGATGGCCGATAAACAAAACCGTGACATCATCGACGACGGGTCGAGCTTTATAGTGGTCAAAAAACACCTTTGACTTCAAAGTGAATTCTTGCCTGTCCGTCAGCAATTTTTAGGGCAAAGCGTCAATGGAGTTGCAGTGGTGGAACTATTACCGCATTAGTTTCATTTAGTCTGAATAGACAATGCAGCCTGAAATGTTTGATGATCATTCTCTTAAATGTAAATAAGTCCAATGCATACATTTGCGAATTAGTCATATACATGTATGAATAAAAAAAAACCCAGGTTCTGCATGTATATGTACAGTATGTCTGATTAAACAGAACATAGGGTTTTCTGCATGTTCTTTTGAGAAAAAGTATTCATTTTCTTAAAGCAAAAGTAAGGATGATACTTTGAAGAGATATACATGGGCAATTCCATGCCAACTGTGACATGAATGGCAAAATTCCAAATTGATTGTATATTTTTTCCTCCACTATGGTTGGTTAGGGGTATACCGGTGCCTATATTTAATGAATCTGAAAAGATTTTACCACAGAATGTGCGTTTTACTAATTTTTATTGTTGTCTGAATGTGGGAGTGTCAAAATGCCATGTATCCAAAAATGATCAATAATCAATAATGATAAATTGTTTAGGACGTTATGTTACAGATGTTACAGCTTTACTTAAGATGCTATAGGGCTTTTTTTTATTTACTACCTACATAAGATATCACCCCAAATGGTTCTGTCCTATGCTGCTACACCCTGGAAGTGCCTGCAGCATACATGTAGCTCATGACCCTGAGGTCACGTGGTCACAAGGTCATGTGGTGACTTCTCAGGGTGCAGACCACTAATTCAAGTGAGAATTTCTGGCCAGCTCATTAGCATTAAAAGTGCACCCACAGTATCTTTTGAAAAAGGGGATTGTTTGCCCCCCCCAAAATGCTGCTACACATGAGGGTCCTATGCTGCTACACCCTGGAAGTGCCCGCAGCATAGCTCATGACCCTGAGGTCACGAGGTCACAAGGTCACGTGGTCACTTCTCAGGGTGTAGACCACTAATTCAAGTAAGACTTTCTGGCCAGCTCATTAGCATTAAAAGTTCCCCCACAGTATCTTTTGAAAAAGGAGACTGTTTGGCCCCAAAATAGTGATTGTGCTCCCTGGGTCTTTGAGCTTCCATATGAGAGCCGAATGGCTAAAAACCACAGTTGAAAAATGATCCTAAATGCCTGAGAAAGTTGAAGGTTGCCGCTTGACTTCGGAAAAATCACTTTTCGGGGGTGATTTTGTTTTGTGAGAATAATTAAAAATGTAATTGGTTAGGCCACAAAAAATTGAAAAGCAATTGAAAGATTAGGGACCAGACAATAATTTCATTTGTGTTTCTGAAATCT